GTACTACTAAAGATATGGAAATTCTAAGAATCTTCCGGTTGAGGACTTGAGAGGTGAAGGGGGCCTTTGGAGGCCATGTATGGTGGGATTGGATTCTCCTCATCTCTAAAATGAGGGAATGAGATTCCCAGCATCTTTGGCATTGCCAGCACGAGCACGAGAATGGATACGAATACGGAATAACCCGCGCGCGCGCACAAAGAAAATATAGATAAAAAAAGAAATGGTGGATGATCAATATATTTTGGTATACACGTGCTTAAATCATCTAATAATACAAATTAAGCATTACGATTTACATGTAACTAAGGGAGAGTGATTAAGTTAAGTCACTCGTAGTCTAAGAAAATGGAAATAATTAATGTTAGGCTATGAAGAAAGTTGAAGTTCAACCATAAAACCAATATTGCCAATATAAGAACTAGCTCAATTACTTATAAACACATGTAAGGTTTCATCTTTTATCAATGTGAGATTTTTTTAACTTCATATCCTCACATGTCCCTCGCGTGTGATGGATTTTTCAAGTCAAACACGTGGACCACGAATTGAATGACGTAGAACATGTGTGACTGTTGAGCTTTACATGTGAGCCAATCTATTGTGGTACCATCAAGAAATTCAAATGGGTACATACATTGCATAGTCCACAATCACACTTCCCACACAATTATAAGCATAAAAAGGGAAAGGAAAAAGTTGCTGGATGTGGCTGTGAATATTGGATTGGTTGATGAGTTAGTTTTCACTTGAGATTCTTCTTCTATGCCATATATATCATATTGCCATGCCATTCCCCTCATATCATTCATAGCCCACAAACCAATTTCGCTTGCCTTATAAAAGCCAGCTTCACCGCACTCTTTTTTCCGTGAGAAATACACAGATATATATATCCAGGAGATCGAAGAAAGAGGAAGCAAAAAGAGAGACTAAGTTTTGATTGTTGAAGGCAGAATAATAATTTTTTATATATACAAATGATGTACCATCATCAGCAGCAGCACCAACACCAACACCAACACCAAGGAAAGAAGATCATCCACTCTTCTTCTGCTTCTTCAAGCAGAATATCGATGCCTAACATCTCTTCTGAAAGGCATTTGTTTCTACAGCAAGGTGACCAAAATAGCCCCGCAGGAGATTCAGGCCTTGTCCTCTCAACCGATGCCAAGCCTAGACTCAAATGGACCCCCGATCTACACGAGCGATTTATTGAGGCAGTTAATCAGCTTGGAGGAGCAGATAGTGAGTACCACTCTATTTACTTACTAATACTGTATATGTGTGTGTATATACTCTCCCTAGCTAGCTCCCAGCTGAGAGCTGAGAGCTGAGCTGATCATTATATTAATTACACTTAATTAATAAAGTTATGATGATTTCCAATGTTATGCAGAGGCCACTCCAAAAACAGTTATGAAACTTATGGGGATTCCAGGCCTTACATTATACCACTTAAAGAGTCATCTTCAGGTACTTTACTTCAATGTTTTTCTACAACCATTAAGTTCAACTGATTTCAAAATCTCCATTTAGTTCTAATTAATTAAATTGCAATTTAATTGGCCATTTTAAAAAGGAAAATGCAACAATCAAGTATTCAAGCATTAGTTTCATTTTCTTCAGCTCCAAGCAACAGAGTGAAACCAATTTTAGTCCAGCCATTATAATTGAAATCAATTTTAAGCCAGTTATTTTTGGGTTTTTGTCAAACAGAAGTACAGGCTTAGCAAGAATCTGCATGGAGGGCATGTTACCAGTAGCCTCACCAAAATTGGTAAGCAGAGGAGACTAATCATTTGTTCAATTCCTCCTCTTAAGATATATGTACTTTGATTGGTTTACACTTAATTTACAGCCAATTTAATTTAACATTGTTAATAGTTTGGACCATGATATTGTATATGTACAGGTCCAGTTCCAGTTTCAGTGGCAGGAGAAAGATTAATATCTGAAGCAAATGGAAGTCAGATGAGCACTATGAGCACTGGCATTGCACCCCAATCAAACAAGTAAGCTGGCTGCTGCCACTCATTTACCCGCTTGATCTTCTGTTAATTTTTCATTTATTTATCATCTTATAATTACCTCAATATTTATGAGATTTAGGCTCACAGTGGCAATTCTTATTTAATTCCAGAGGCTTGCATATAAGTGAAACACTAGAGATGCAAATTGAAGTCCAGAGAAGGCTACACGAGCAACTTGAGGTAAGGGCATGCTCTTGGCATCACTCAGTAGAGCATAAACTCTTTCCCATTATAGCAGCGTTATTCTTACAATTTGTTCCAACTGAAAACCAGGTTCAGCGGCACTTGCAACTTCGTATAGAGTCTCAAGGAAAATACCTGCAGTCTGTGCTGGAGAAAGCCCAGGAGACGCTAGGACGACAAAACTTAGGTTCAGTAGGACTTGAAGCTGCCCAAGTTCAACTCTCTGAGCTGGTGTCCACAGTATCCACCCAATGCTTGAACTCTTCCTTCACAGAGCTCAAAGAATTACAGGGATTGTGCCCTCAGCAAACGCAAATGAACCAGCAGCCCGCCGATTGCTCAATGGACAGCTGCCTAACTTTTTGCGAAGGATCGAAAAAGGACCAAGATCAGATACACAGCAGTGGAGTGCCTCTAAGACCAAATTACAATGGCAGGGTGACAGCAGTCCTGGAACAAAAAGATACAGAACGAGCGCAGCCGCCAATGCTCCAAAACACTAGTCAACTTAATTGGTGTGAAGATATGAAGGAGAATAACATGTTTATTTCCTCCATAAGTAAAGATGCAGAAAAAAGAATGTTCCCTGCTGCAGAAACAAGGTCTAGTGACTTATCCATGAGCATTGGACTACAAGGAGAAAGATGGAATATCGATAGCAAAGGAAGAGACTCAGATGACAGCTTTTTAGAACGTACGAACAGCAGCAGGGCTGATTCAGCTAAAGTCAAGGGTGCGAAAGTTTCTCAAGGATACAGATCAGTGCCTTACTTTGCAGCAAAGCTAGACCTAAATGCTCATGATGATAATGATGCTTCTTCAAGTTGCAGACAGTTTGACTTGAATGGCTTCAGTTGGAGCTAAGTAGGCTTACAGTGGGTGAATCAAAGGGATAAAAACACTGCAATTTCAGCTTCATACCAAAGGATAGACAGAGCACAATAGCGTGCTGCAAACGTATTGTTCAATCGAGCTGAAAGGAATAAGTTGCAGTACAAAGACATTCACCTAGCTATTAATTTAGATCAATTACATAACAAGTAGCTCAGGCAAGCAGGATGTAATATCTTTTTATATATGATTGAGAGTTCCAGGACTAGAAAGCAGAATATGTCCTGATCTCACGCTCGTTCAGTAAACTCTTATGTTAATCCACTCACCCTCCCCTAGGTGGCAGTGGCTTACAACTCCAAACACGGTTGTCGATCACATTAAAGCCTGTACCGTTATCATAATCAAAGTCGCCTTAATCTCGTGTGGTATGAAGGGTTGGCCGAAACCTAATCAGATTAGGTTGAGAAGTTTTAATCCGAGTATGATTTTTTTGCCTAGCTATGAAGGGTTTCGCTACTATAAATAGAGGAGGGAGTGTACATTCAAGTCCCCTCCAATTCAACACACAAATTGCTCTACACAAACCTCTCAAACACCTTGAGATTTTTATTTTATTTTTCCGCCAACACATCTTCAGTTTGGATAAACAGCACTGTGAAGGCAACCGACAACATCTTCAGTTTGGATAAACAGCACTAGAGCTGTAGAATCAGCCGATCAAGGAGCACCTTCAGTTTGGATAAATAGCACTGCTTCGAGATCAATTGGTTATTTATCCAAGTCTCGGTCAACAAAGATCTTCAAGTCCTTGTTGGTAGAGGTCATCTCAGTAGCATTTTCGGCGAAGTGAGGTGTTACCAGTTACTACATTCGGCACATTGAAAGTCGAATTTGATATTGAACTTCGCAAAACTAGCAGCCTTGTCTTCAGGCTCTAGAACCCGAAGGCCGATATGTGTTCCTTCCTTGACCGCAGTCGCAAGATCGAGAAGTCAGCAGCACGCCCAACGTGACATCAACACATTCTACCCGGCCGAGTTCGGCCGATGAGTTGACATGCCTCGTACACAACCGAAGGACATAATTAGCTTATTAATTACTCGGCCTGCGTGCCACGTAGGCTTGATAGTTTTTATGATCAACACATATATAGCCATTGGGCAGTTACATAGCCAATCTTACAAGAGTTAGAAGCGGTTGATTGAATTAAGCCAGTCGTTAATATGAATGCATATGAATGACGTACTTGTTTTGGTCGAGCGAGAAGAATGTCTCACTGGTTTTTTCAAATAAGTGTGTTTATGAAACGACCTAGATTCTGTTTTTTACTTGCCCAAAAATGTCCTTGGCAATCTCAATCCTATATTCCTTCTGCTTCTTCCTTTGGATATCCGCCAGGGAAAGGAGGAAGGGCCAACTCTTTCGAGCAGGGATATTCCAATTCCAATTCAAATTGCTTGCTAATTAGGCCCTAGCAAAGTCAATGCTAATACTGATTTAATGCAATGTTTTATGAAACTGAACCAATTATGATATTTTCATGTCAAAAGGATCTAAAATCGACAATTTTTACTTTTTAAATAAACAGAAGTGCCGGAGGAAGACAAAATGTAACGCATGACAAATTTTGAGATAAACAAATTCATGAATCAAAATGCCAATGGAAGTATAATTCAGAAAACAGTTGCTATAAAGTTTATACCATAGAAAGCAGTATAAACCCTTTCTAATAAACATTAGCAAGGTATTTAGCATTTTTTGTTTTTGTTTTTTGGGGTCAATTGCTCATTGAATTCTTTTTCCCTATAATTCTGGTACGTACAACAGTCTGTGCAGCTTGGATTGGATTGGAGTGGATTGGATTGGAGTGGGCCTCTGCTCGCATTGGTCTTTTGGTAATGGACCAACCACCGCCGTCTAGTCTTTTAACATTCTTCGTTTGGACATTTTCTCCCCACCCCATTTTTTTTTTGGAAGATAATTAATTCTTCGTTTCGAACGCATCTGAAATATCGTTAGGAGGAGGCCACGGCCAAACAACAAACTGCCGTTGAAAATTGAAAGCAGACCGCCTGTCTCCGTCTCCATACAGCCCCACTTCCCCAACCCTCTCAAAATCTGAATCAAGCGACCAAGAAGAAGGAGAAACCTTTGGTTCTGTTTGTGGTGAAACGTAAACGGCAAGTGATTTGATTTTCAATTTTGGAAGATCGGCCTGTGTGTTTTTGTTTGTGTTTGTATTTGTGGTGTCGGTGGAGATGGAGGTGCCGAGCTCATGGGACGCTCTTCGCAAGCAGGTACTCCTTTTTCCTCTTCAGCGATGATCAATACTTTCAGTATGATTTCCTCCTTCGCAATTCTCAACTTTCTCGGGTAACTGACGATTTCCTGAATTCTGTTTGGTTTGCCTTAGATATTATCCATTTCGATAACAGCTTTGAATTCTGCAACTAGACTAGTGCTTATTGCTTTTGCCTTTCCTTTTAGTTCAAGTTGTCGGTAGGTTGTATTGTTTGAGATCAGTTTGCGTTTTTTTCTTCAAACTTTTATCGTCAATTTGGATTTGTTTGTGATTGGTGAGTTAAATTGATAAATTCCCTTTGTTCTAGCAACAAATTGTTAAATTTTAGCTTCGATCATGGTGGAGAAATTTGATTGAAGAAAAGAATATGGAAAGTTACAAGACTTGTAATTGAATCATGCTCAATTGCCTGCGGCATATAGATCTATTTGGTTAACAAAAACGAATTAAAAGAAATTCTAGTAAAAATTTCAAATCGGATTCTATTGGAAGATTAATGTACCTTAGCAAGGCCTAGAATCAAAATTTAACTTCAACTAGCAATTTTGAATGAGGCCCCATTGTTGTACCCAGTGCACAAGGCTCCCGCTTTACGCAGGGTCTGGGAGAGGTGAATGTCGGCTAGCCTTACCCCCATTTATGGAGAGGCTGCTCCCAAGTCTCGAACCCAAGACCTACCGCTCATGGGCGAAGGCACTTGCCATCGCACCAAAGTCCCTATAGCATTCCTCTTCTGCCGCCTGTGTCATTACTTAAATGAGAATTACGATTAGAACTGTGCAGTAATAGATGACCCTCTTCTCGACATTCTCTCTGCATATGACGATTTAGAATAATGATTTTCCTCTATGGACATCATATAAGAACATCTTCCTCAAAGCATAGGCCCAAAATGAAAAAGTGCTACTTTAGTACGGGCCTTTGAATGTCAAACAGACCTAGAAACCCAACACCCTCCCCTCCTTTAAAACCCTGGTAGTAAGGTCTAACATGAAATCACTACTATGATTCCACCACCACCTCAATTTTCAATCATGCACACTCTAACGAAAATGGTAGATCATTGGATGTCAGCATCATCCTGATGAGCAATGATGTAATCCTCAGCTAAAGAAATATTAAATATGTGCAATTTGAAAAAGTCCCGGAAGATGAAAAAGAACAAGGTTGAACTGTGGTAACTAAATCTACTCATCCAGGGATTCTTACTATTAAGCTTCTCATCTAAATCACGACTATTTTCAAGAATGCTAAAGGCTTCGTGGCGAATATTTCAATATTCAGTTAGTGCATCTCTTCTTTTCGTATATATTTCTGGAACTTCTGAACTTTACTCCCTGATTGTGTTGAAAGGTTGAACATTTTGCTATCACGAAGGTACTAGTATTTGATGAAGCACGAATTTCCACTTGGCTTTCTGATTCCTAGTGTCACTTTTTGAGCATGAATTTTGAAAATTTGGCTTAAGCTACTGATTTTTCTGAATCTTTTAACCGAAGGTACTTAAGTAAGACATCAAGTTTGTTTACATATCATATAATATAATCACATTGCCTCAACTTGAATGGAAATATTAATTCCGTTTGTCTGTAAAGTGCATGATCACAGATGTGCGACGCTAATTGTTTTCATTTGTTTCCTCTTCCATGTAGTTCCCTTCATACTAAATCTGGATAGCTGGGAATTTTGCTTTTTTAAAATGATTCTTTTATCTATTTGTAATTTCAGGCAAGGAAACTTGAAGCTCAGTTGGATGAGCAGATGAATTCTTATCGTAAGTTTGTCTCTGCAAAGGGTTCTGCAAAAGTTGGTACTGCTGAGAATGATCTTGAATCTGTGATAGATCGACTATTAAAGCAACTCCAACAAGTAAATTCACAAATGCAGGCATGGGTATCATCAGGAGGATCAGAAATGGTTTCTCATACCTTGACTAGACATCAAGAAATTTTCCAAGATCTCACTCAGGTATTCTGGCATTCTGGCCTCTTAAATATGCTAAGGTGAACATGGGATGGCAGTTTTGTTTTTTTGACCCATATGTTGCTAATGTGTCTTGAATGTGCTGTGGGTTGATCCATAGTCCAACCGGCATGATTGATGTGTTCTATGAGCTCTCATGCCACCTTATAAATCTCTTGAAGTCAAGACCCTTATGTTTTTAAGAAGGAATTTGTATTACTGGTCATCATCCAATCCCTTGTTTTTCATTTTTCATTAGTGTTCCGAGTTCTCTCTGAAGTTGAAATTGAGAGTTTGAACAGTCAAAATGTGGATGATCATTCTGAGCTGAGCTCAACTTTAAGTTACAGATCTATTATTACTATTCGTTTCTTAGCAAGAGAGCTTGAGATTTGGCCTCATGCTATATAGTCTATATGCTGGTGAAGCAACTACAATCCTGAATTCTATTCAATTTTTTTTTGTACATTTTTTGAATCATTTGTGCTGTCTTTGCTATTAAACGTATAATTCCTAAGATTGAACCCATCAGATTTCAACTTTTTATTAGACATGAATCATGATTGAAGTGCAGGAGTTCTATCGTCTCCGCAACAGCCTTAGAGCTAAGCAAGAGCATGCTTCACTCCTTGAGGATTTTAGGGAGTTTGATCGAACAAGAGTAGACTTGGAAGATGGTGTTGGCTCTGCGGAAAACGCTCTCCTGAAAGAGCATGCTGCTGTTAGCCGAAGTACAGGACAGGTACGCAAATTAAAGTGATACATTTTTTTATCCATACAGATTGTGTTGGGTGGTGATGCGTTTTATTAGGACCCAGTTTCAGTGATTGTTTTAGTAAAGAATTAAAGATATATATCATATGGCTTTGACGGAAGAGAAATGGACGCCTTCATAGTTAGGAAGTGAAACAGAATTTTATTGTGCAGGGTAGCACCTCTCTTAGCTGATGGTTTAGAGTCCTTGGTCAGGCATTTTGATTTATTTACATCCCTTTTCTGAGGTTTGTCAAATGGAAGCATTCAAATTGTGATTTATATTGAATTCCCAATCTATTCTGTTACTGCAGGTGGATACTGTGATCTCTCAAGCTCAAGCAACCCTTGGTTCACTTGTCCTTCAACGCTCCACTTTTGGTGGTATTAATTCGAAGCTCAGCAATATTGGCAGCCGCCTTCCAACGGTATAAAACCAGTAATTGTGGTCCTTGATGTGTTAGTTATTTCTTTGGCGTTTTGTTGTTACATAGGTCCCTCATGAAACAGAATCAAAATGTTTCTCTTGTATTCTATGAATAAGAGTTAATGCACGCAATAGGTTAATTGCAGAAAAATTCACCACTACAAAGTTAACTGAATTTTTTTATGCCAAAACTAGATTTGATGAATCCTAATAACGAGTAGGCTAAGAAAGTGCCTGGTCTGAAATTATGGTGTAATAAAAGGATGACTTGTTTGAAGGGCAACGCAAAAATGAAGTAAAGAAATTATGGATTTTAATCCTTTGAAATGTGTATATCTATCATTTATTATTTCTGTACTCTTTAGTTCTCTTGATTGACGTTCAAAGATGTGATGGTGCAGGTAAATCAAATGCTGTCTGCTATAAAGCGTAAAAAGTCTCTGGATACCATCATTCTTTCTCTCGTTGCGTCTGTATGCACATTTCTCATATTTATCTACTGGTTGTCAAAGTGAGGATCTATGAGGATCAGGCATTTGTGTGGGGGGACCATCTGTGAGTGAGAAAGAGAAAGAGATACCGTTTTTTCCTTGAGTTTTCTCGAACGTACCTGTATTACTGTAAGTGATTTGTTTCTTAGGAGTACAAAATACAATGGATGCAGGCATTCCGTGTTATTTCATGTTCTTTCATTGAGCTCGAGTGTCAATTTAATTTCTGATTTTCAGCAGGGTTACAGCGTGCCACAAGCGTAACGATGTAAGTGACTTTGATGTATTAATACATAGTTTGTTTTAGATGGAAACAACATACTTGTATCAACTTTTGTTAAATATGTTTCTCTTCACTTAAGACATTTCGTGATTAATGAAGGTGTGGGAAAAAAGGTCTTAGGCCACCAAAATATTAGAAGTGAGTTACAGCCACAGGAAGTTTGATACAATTGTTTGCAATATGTTAGTTCCTCTTGTGGATGTTTTCTTTTGTTCAGAAATTACCTATCTATGCCTATCTATTATCTGATTTCTTTTGCTCCACAGGACGGTGCCCCTCTTTGGGTGCTGCAACCATGGCAGCGACCAGACCACCCGCCATCTCTAGTTAAGGTCACACAATTACTTATTGAAATAAATGAAACTTGTGTCTGGAATATTTTGTTGGTATGGTTTCCAAGCTATATAGATAATTCCCCCGATCACCCACGGATAGAGTTTGAGTATGAATGCTATACATCTCTTGTTCAGCATATAGGATTAGCAGGGAACGGAACTAACTCGGCCTACCCTGTATGATTGCTTACCTTCCATTATTCCACATGGCTCGGGCAGGCGCTTTTTTTTCATCAGGCTCAAGCAGCAGGCCTTGGCCCTCAACTAATGATCATCTCATCATTTTTTTTTGGTTTTTTGCACACACCTATCTCTCTCTCTCTCTCTCTCTCTCTCTCTCTCTCGACATAGAAATTTCACAAGCTAAATGATGTTTTTCTTTCAATCCTTTGTAAATTTCTTTTTTGTTTGAACAATCAATATTATTTAAACTAAGAGAGTAGGCGGGTAGGCTAAGTCTCATAATAGGCTAGTAATAATGCGGTTCAAATTCGTCTTTGGTGAGAGTCAAACATAAGACCTTTCATTTACCAATAAAGAGAAATATCATTAGATCGTAGTATTAAATGATAATCCTTTGTAAATTTCTTTACAAGGTCTAAAATAGTATGACTTGTATGTTTATTCTTATATACTAATACTGGCCCAAGTAAGTTGGGACCAATGTTTTTATGATTAACTTAAAATTACTCTTTTATAGAGTATTATTAGTATAAAAAAGTTTTACTTTACTTACCAGAAAAATAAAAGAAAACATTAGAGCATCTCAAAATGTCTAAATTAGCAATAATGGTAAAAAGACAGCATTAATGTTTTTTAACCGAGAAACCAAATCTAATATAGCATAACATGGGATAACACCTCTCCCCCTCCCCCCCTGCTATAGTGCCTTCAATTTTTTTTAATAATTAAATGCTTTTTATTAGTTTAAAGCATTGCTTTTTTGTTTTTTTCCATTACCAATGTAATATTTAAATATTTTTATACCTTTTAATCCACTTTCTTTTATTCTCAATGCGAAGAAAGTATTTACGAATTTTCATTTTATGTTTAAATTTGGCATATTAGGTGGAAACCGAAACTTTAAGAGATGTTAAAATGTTATATAAGTTTTCAAATTTAAATTTTAAGTTTAATATTTAACATCTCCTACCCTGTTTGTGTTTCTTTTCCAATCTCAAAAAATTGGATCGGATCTTACCATCGCAAGGCGACCATTTAAAGTGAAAACGCCAATTACTTCCTTCAACTTCACGGTCACTTGTCGATATGACGGTGCCATCCTCCGTGTCTTACCCTTTGGCTTGCCATGAGAAATAGTAGTGGGAAAAAACGTGGTATGTCGGGCGGAGTTAGGGGTTAGTGGGCCACGTCATCACCGAGCTATATCCTAACTTTTAGATTTTCCAAACATTTAAATTTAAATTTAATTGACGTATTTTTTCATTACTTGGACGAAATTAACAAAACAAAGCATGGAACTTGTTCGGATTCTAAGGGTGCGTTTGGTACGTGGGACGGGACGGGACGGGACGGAACGGAACGAGGCGTTCCGTCCCGCGTTTGGTGCGCTAAAAATGGGTGGAACGGGTTGTTCCACGGGACAGATTTTGGGTGTTTTTGCGTTCCACCTCTCCCCCCTGGAACGGGTTTGTTCCACGTCTGTGGAATACAATGTTTTACCATTTTAAGACAAATATACCCCATGTCTTTTTCAAAAATTACACCTTCGTTCCGTCCCGTCCCGTTCCGTCCCGTCCCGTCCCGTTCCGTTCCGTCCCGTCCCGTCCGCGTACCAAACGCACCCTAACTGTCTGAAAGTTGCAATATTTGGAATCGAAAAACCAAAAGAAAGAGAAAAAGACAAGTGCTTTTGCACTGATGATGCATCAAAAGGTAACTTTGCACATCGGAATCGAACCGGAAACAAAGAAAGCAATCCAACCCAACCGGGCCTAAGAGACAGACATACACTTGGCAGCTCACTATTATTCCCTTCCCCAATTTTTCGAAATTTACTTTTAAAAATATTCGTTACTGGTAATAATTTATTCTGGTGCTCAGAAAGTCAGAGGAGTAGATATTATTATTATTATTACTGTTAGGGGGAGGTTTTCAAAACTCAAACCGTGCGTGACAAAATCAATTTCTAGCCGTTAGATTTGAGGAGCTCCCTCTTTTCCCTTTCAACTCGATTTGAAAACCGAGAAGTCTGTGACAGACAGACAGACCGACAGACACTCCCGGAGCCCAGAACCACAAATTGGGTTTTGTCCTTGTCGTTTCATCATTTGGACTTTTGTTCTCCTTTACAAAATTGTTGGAATTTCTGACCATTTTACGTATACGGGTTTTTGGGTTTTTGAATTTGTTCAGATTCATATATATATTGATTGCGATACGTGCATCTGCATAAGGAGAGAGAGTATAACGTCGGTCTTTGAGTGAGGGCTTTCGACCAGCCAGACAAAGCCAAAGCCAGGTGGTGGTGGGTGTCCTCACTCCTCTGGATTGGAGGTCACTTTACTAAAACGTGTGGAGTGGTAAAACTTCCCTCTGTACACCCTCCCTCCCTCCCCACTAACCCATCTTCTTCTTTTTATTATTATTATTATTATTATTCTCATTCCTCATCAGCTTTCCTTTTTCCCACTTCCTAATATTGGGGATTGGATCGGATCGGATCGGATCGGATCGATCGCCCTCTTTCTCCACTACCCCCCTCTCAGTTTTCGTGGGAAAAATAAAGTCACTGGAATATCGCCGATTCTCCGACCCACCTGCAACTCTTTCCCTCTTTTTTCTCTTCAGTTAGCATAAAGGAAACTCCTTTTTTTTTCCCTCTTGATCTTTCATCTCTTATTTATCGTCCTATTTACACTATAAGCCTTTTGCTTTTGTTCCCTTCTCTCCTCCCCTGCCTTTTCGATAAACCCAGAATTTTACCGCAAAAGAAAAGGAAAAGAAAACATGGAAAGGATGATGTGGGTTTTGGTTGCGGTGGCTGTGTTGTGTGTTTGCAGTGGTGTGGAAGGTCTTGGTGTGAATTGGGGAACGATGGCAACCCACAAGTTGCCGCCGGAGACGGTGGTTCAGATGCTAAAGGACAATGGGATTCAGAAGGTGAAGCTTTTCGATGCAGAGGAGTCGACCATGAGTGCCTTGGCTGGCAGTGGTCTTGAGGTCATGGTTGCTATTCCTAATGATCAGCTGGCTGTCATGACCAGCTACAAACGTGCCAAAGAATGGGTCCGCCGCAACGTCACCCGCTACAATTTCAACGGAGGAGTTAACATCAAGTATGACTTCAGTTTGCTTTAGATCCTTTTATAGTCCAGATTGATTTCATTGTTATTGCTATTTTGCTATCGAATCTGCTTTTGTGACCAATGCTTACATGATATGACTGTCCTACTCTATTTTTAGATGTATTATTTATCACAGCACCTAGAACTACTTTGGAATTGCTTGCTGGTTGGCTTGAAATTTCTGATTATGATTTGTTCATGGGCCCTTTTGATTTTCTTCTCAAAAATTTGTCTGGAAATCCGATCCGGTATCCGGTTAGTTTAGTTGATTCGTCTTTCTGTTTCAGTCCAGTTTGTAGTTTTTCTTTTTTCTTGTCTGCTGTTATGGAGTACATGCACTTCCTTAAGTACCAGTCTCAGAATGATGGATGAAATTTGTTAGACATGTATCCCTTCTTGGAGGCAAATTCCCCGGAACTACTAACACGGCACAATAATTTAGGCAGCAACTTTTTTCAAAGATCTAAGGAGTCAAACATGGAAATTGTTGTTTTATTTTCTCTTCTTCTCTGCTTTACTATGTCATTGGAGCAAGGAATTATCATACTGATATGCTGTATCTATGTCCTTACTAATGTGTGAGCGGGCTTTATTTCAAGGCTGCGGCTTTGTTGAAAACAAAGTCCTGCTACAAACTCTTCTGTTTTCTTATCATATTTGCTATTTTTTCAGATATGTAGCAGTTGGGAATGAGCCTTTCCTCACATCGTACAATGGTTCATTCCTGAATGTTACGTTCCCAGCACTTCAGAACATTCAAAATGCCCTTAACGAAGCTGGAGTTGGAGATTCGGTAAAGGCTACCGTGCCCTTAAATGCTGATGTCTACAACTCACCAGAAAACAACCCCGTGCCATCTGCAGGAAGGTTCCGGACTGATATTCTTCAACTAATGACTGAGATTGTCCAGTTCCTAGACAAAAATCAGGCGCCTTTCTCAATAAACATCTACCCTTTCCTGAGTTTATATGGCAATGACGACTTCCCATTCAACTATGCCTTCTTTGATGGGGATACCAATCCCATTGTTGATGCAGGCACTGGGATTCAGTACACCAATGTTTTCGATGCTAATTTTGATACCTTGGTCTCTTCCCTGAAAGCAGTGGGATTTGGGAATATGCCCATTGTGGTTGGGGAGGTGGGATGGCCAACAGACGGGGACAAGAATGCCAATGCAGGTAATGCTTTGAGATTTTATAACGGGCTTCTACCAAGACTTGGAACCAACAGAGGCACCCCACTGCGACCTGGATATATTGAAGTTTACTTGTTTGGACTTATTGATGAGGATGCAAAGAGCATTGCTCCAGGAAGTTTTGAGCGTCACTGGGGAATTTTCCGTTATGATGGACAGCCCAAGTTCCCGGTCGATCTTTCTGGTCAGGGTCAAAACAAGTTACTAGTGCCTGCAAAGAATGTGCAGTATCTTTCAAAAAAATGGTGCATGTTTAACCCGAATGCCAAAGATGTGAGCAAACTGGCAGATAACATAAACTATGCTTGCACCTTTTCGGATTGCACGGCATTGGAATATGGTTCTTCTTGCAACAATTTGGATGCAAACGGGAATGCTTCGTATGCGTTTAATATGTACTACCAGGTTCAGAATCAGGATGATCTGTCGTGTAACTTCCAAGGTTTGGCTACGTTGACGACACAGAACATCTCACAAGGGAATTGCAATTTCATAATTCAGATAGCAACTTCATCTGCATTTTCTCTAAGACCGTCCTCCTCCTCCTCCGTATTGGTAGCCTTGCTAGCTATGTTACTGTCCGCTTTGCTGTTGCTGTAGGATTTTGTAGATGGCTCGGATGTACTATTTTGTTTTTCTTTTGCCTGGTGCATTCTTCTGTGGCCTTGTGGGATTAGTTTGGTTTCACAGATCAATTTAAAAAAAATTGATATCTTAAAGCTTCAAATTCCGCCTTGTATTTCCAGACCCATAATAATGCATGTTGTTATCGGATTTTCTGTTATCTTCCTTCGTTTTCACAAATATACTTTTGTTTAGGCC